ACACACACACACACACACACACACACACACACACACACACACACACACACACGGAGCATGGGTGGAATTGGGGCTGTTGTGGGGAAAATCTATAACACACAGAGCACAAGCTATTCCTATCACGGTCATGGTGCCACCATCTTGAAAAGAATACAGCAGATACTCTGTGTTTGCATGAATTGAACGAAAACAATGCATTGCAAGGGAGAAGATACAAGTGGCAAGAGAGGATGGGCAATTGAAGTCGAGACAAGAGTCTCAGATTGAACGTCTTACGTGCCAACGTAGAGGAAACTGTATGGGAGATTCTGAATAAGATCGATGCTCACACCCGAGTATAGCTTCCGTACTCCATGTTTTTGCACAAAACTCAGAACGCAGCCGATGAATGAGCTGTGGAGACCTGCCTGCATTTGGGTTTTGATCGTAGAAAGTGGAAAGGTGGTCATAGTTAGAGCAGTTCCCGCTGCAGCAGCTGCGAATGCATTCTCTGCACAGAGAGAGGAGCACACACCAGAAGAGAACACAGCAGACGAGGTGGAAGAGGAGAGGGGGGATCACAAGCAGAAGGAAGGCTGGGATTGATACAACGAGAGGGGATGCAGCAGACCAAAGGAAGCACAGTGAAAGTTCACAGCTGACAGACAGCAGGAGCAAGAACAGCAGCAGCAGCTGGAGGAGTAGGAGGAGATTAACCTTGAGGGGAGGAAGAGAAAGGATAGAAGTGGATGATGCAGAGTAGAGAATACAGCCAAAACAACAAACGAAGAAAGCAACCAATTAGCCAACAGGTATCTCACACGTACGTAAGCAGGTGGCCCTCACACTACCAGTCAGGTCCAGCCCAGTACTTTTCCTAGGCTTGGAGAGTACACACACACACACACACACACACACACACACATTCTGCTTTTCCATCCTCATATCGAGGCTGTTGTTGCCCAGCCTTTCTCTTCTTCATGCGGCTAGTACTCTGCTCCTGTTTAATTGTCAGACTTCATGCCTTTGATTTTGTGCGTGCTATTCTGCTGTCATACTTGCAATCTGACCACACAAAATGCTGTACTGTGCGACTCCTGAAGGTGCGGACATACTCCACTCTACATTATGACACTATTTATTATTATATTTTTTATTTCTTTTAAGGCAGCAACTTTTCAAGTATTTATTTAATTTTATTTATGGGATAATTTGCAAAATACCCTCATAAGTTGAGATATATGCCAAAATGCCCCTGAAAGATGTGGGTAGAGCGCAATGCCCTTTTGGGCTGAAATCTTTGTGTTGTGCCCCTGCCAGGTGGGTGTGCAACTTTGCAATCCAGACCTCCCCGTTTGGGCCTCGGCCTTTTGTAATAGCACCAAGGAGAAGTTGGCAAGTACTGGGGCATTTTGCAAAATTGGACGGTACCCGGTAGGTGTATATTGCGAAGATGGGGGTCCAACCGACGCCAGGGGTATTTCACAAGAAGAGCATTCCGCTCTACCCTCATCTTTTAGGGGCATTTTGGCATATATCTCAACTTATGGGGGTATTTTGCAGATTATCCCTTTATTTATTTTAAATTATTTATTTATTTATTTATTTATTTATTAGATGAACTATTTACTATTTATTTAATACGTGAAAAGCATGCGAGTGTCCTCTGGTTAGTTGCTCATCTTGCTGTCCCTGCTGCCCTTTGGTGCATGCCTGTAAGTCTTCCAGAGCCTCCACTCTGTGCAGTCTGTGTGCTAGGACGCATATGGAAGACCTTCAATACACGTGTTTGGGCAACGGTCCTGAGTTATCATCATCTGACCGGCCAGCCCCAGGTGCAGTTACCACTGTGCCCAGCAAAAATACAGTGTGCCCCAAATCCTGTTCTAATTAGGTGGGCATGAGGCGGTGACTTCTGGGAATACAGGCGTGCCGTTTCGCCGAATATCCATCCAGGCATAACGGGTAAACAGGAGGACGACACATTGCATGGGTTTCCTTCTTCTTGTTCTTGTCATGTACATCTACTACATATAGGGCCTTGCCACACCACTCAGGGCATACTCACACTAGGACCTTTTGCACTTTTCTGTGGACGTAATTGCGGTCAGGTGCAATCAGGCCGGGTTGGAAAAGCCGTCATATACATCCAGGAAAGTCCTACTAGTGTGAGTGCATGCCCTCAATGCACAAAACCTTGAATTTCGAGATGATTCCTCGACTCCAGAGAATGGGACCCAGTCCAAAAACTGACCAAAAGTGTCACTCACCACACCACCTCGCCCCACCAGTGCCACCACAGACTCGCTGAAAACAAATCCCGGCTGCTCCACATTTGGCGAGTGCTGTGGAGCGGCCTGCAGTGCCCTGCACATTCAGAGAGACCCACAAAAAAAAAAGAAAAAGAAAAAAAAAACTTTAAAAAAGACTCACCAATATGGGAGCGCGTCCTCGTAGAACGCCGTGGGAAATTCTGCCTACCTGACCAGGCCGGGTGAGAATCACCTACGCTAAAAAGTAAACAGAACGAGGTAGTCCGTCTGTGCAGTGCTGCAAGTCATCAATTTGGTGGCACAATGGGGGTCGCCGCACCACTCTCGAAATGTGCAAATTGAGAATGAACTTCCCGCTAGAACATGGCCAGATGCCCCCGCCAAATTTTTGTTTTTTCACATTTCGAGAGTGGTGTGGCAAGGCCCAAAGAATGGTCCCACTAAACATCATGTGTTGCAGGCAGGGACGGGAGTGGCTTTGGTGATTCCTCCCCTCATCAGACAAAATTCTGACAAAAAGAAAAAGTTCAATATGTGCGGCTACACTAAATTCACCACAAAGCTGTTTGTTTGTTTTTCCCTCTTCTTTTTTTAAAAGGGCGACGGCCTTCAGACATCGCAGTTGAACTGACCTGAAGCAGGTAATTCATCCAGCGGCGTAGCTCAGTTGGTAAGGCACGCAAGTGGCATTCAGGAGGTCTTGGGTTCAATCCCCATTGGCCTCATGTACGTTCCTGGGCAAGCTTGGCACCCGGCACTTAGAGATATGCCGTTGGTCCCCCCGAGTGGCATTGAGCAGAGACTGCTGATGCTCATAGGGGGAGGGGACCAGAGGGGAGGCACAGTGACTGGCCCGTCGAAGAAGCTTGGTCCTGATGCTACCGGCTGACCCCTGGCTGGTATCGCCCACCTGCCGTAGCAGGTATCACTGGTGGGTGCAGCTCCCGCATGTTGTCTCGTTGGAGGCTTGAGCACGGACGTGGCTGCTACGGGGTTCCCCATAATACTATAATCTGTTAATCGTAATATAATGACAATAAAAAAGGCCTGAAATCCAGATTGGACAGGTGATTGCATTGGCTGGGCTTAAGGAATTAGCCTTATATAAATTTAGGAAAAAAAAAAAAAAAAAACAAGCAGGTAATTCAGAATTATTTTGCTCTGGGACTCTGACCATCTGATTGTGTCTGGATTCGAACTCGGGTCTGTATTTCAACAGTACATGCATTGGGTGTACCGACCGACTGAGGGAATACTCAGGGCGGACTCACACTACCACTCTTCTGAATGTGTCTGTCAGTGACCGTAATTACGGCCGAACCTGGATGTATCTGGCTGCATTTCCTTCCAGAAATAAGTAAAAAGGTCCTAGTGTGACTATTGCCTCACACTAGGACTTTTTCACTTGATAATGGACGTATTTGCGGTCAGATGCATCCAGGTTTGGCCGTCAATGTGGTACGATAGAGCTAGTGTGAGTATGCTCTTGAGCTAGGCTGGTTGGTACCAAAAAACAATTTTGGTGAGATGATTCTCCCATTTTTTCTTGAAATCATGATGAACGGTTGTCCCTTCTTTTTCTTTAATGAATGAGGATCTCATCGCATACATCTATAAGCACAGGATTTCCAAAAATATCAACATCGCACGGCGCCCTAACTGCGTCCTAATCTCATATTTTTCAATATCAAATGTGAAGACGAGTAAAGGACTCGTCCCAATGCAAAAAAGAGTGTACCACTCGTCCCAATGCAAAAAACGATTGTAGGATTCGCCCCAATGTGAAAACGGGTGTAGGGATCATCCTAGAAATTTAGGGACACCACAGCCATTTCTGGGACCTCTGACGGCCGAAAATGTTAGCCCCCCATATGCAGGTGTCAGACTGCCCACTTGCTGCCACCCGATTGACGGAAAGCAAACCTTTTTGTGGCATTGGTTTCTCTTAAGAACATGCTCACTCTAGGACTCCACTGCACTCGCATGCATTTGACCTCATTTACGGCCACATACGGAGACTACTTGAAATTCCCAGAAGTGCACAGGTGGAAAAAAAGTGGAACAGAGCTGGAGCTGGAGCTGGAGAGCAAGAAGAAAACACTCCAGAAGTAAAGTAAAACAAACACACTGTACAGACTTTGGGCATCTGCCAAGAGTCGTTGGGCTTACTGCGTTTATAATTCAATTTATGTCTATTTATGAAGTTTTAACTAATGAATTTAATTCAAAACAATGTTTTTTATTCTTTTTTGATGTTCCGGGTTCTTTGAGGAATTCCCAGCCTCTAGATTTCATTTCAACAACTGTCAGAAGACTCAGAACCTTTTTCGACATAGGGTTTTTCGATAAAAACCCTGCCTTCGCCACACAGCACATGTAGAAGACGCACGGAATTGAGGCGGATGAACGCTGACATCTCCAAGACACACCGAATCGACCCTGACACATGTCAAAAACGGCACACCTTTCGCTACCCCAAAACACTGATGTTGAATCTTGGCCCTCGGCAGGCACACACACGGATGTGGAAACCCTTTTCCTGACAAATGTCGAAGCTGTTTCAGGTTTCAACATTTTTTCTTCGACAGTCTGTGTGGCGAAGAAAAAATGTTGAAACCACTTGTTTCGACATTGGTGTGGCGAGGCCCTAAGGGATTCCTTGCTTTTTCCTGGGGGGGGGAAAAAAGAACAACTTTGGGCATCCCTCCCCAGCAGGACTGGCCAAATGTAAAAAATAAATAAATACCATACAGACTTCTTTATATACATTGTCACAGAACTATTGACTAAGGGCGTGGCTGCACTACTCTCTACGTGCATAAAAGACAAAAAACATGCCAGTGTATCTTTCCATGTTCTAGTGGGAGATTCACTCTCGTTTTGCACATTTCGAGAGTAGTGCAGGAGGCCGTAAGGGCCTAGTTGCACTACTCGCCATCCGTCGCATTTCGTGGCGGATGTGTGGAGAGTGAAAAAACTGACAATCGCGTCGAACTCGAGGCCTGGTTGCACTTACTTGCCACGATATCTCTCTTCTACAGAAAAGTTGAAAAAAAATTGTCTACCTGATGTCTACTCGTGAAGCCCTGCACTCTCCAGAAAGGTGTTTTGTGGAGAGGTCCGAGGACCACTCTCCACAAACAGCCATGCACAGGCGGGGAAACCGAATTCACTCTCCACAACTTGTGTCGACGGTGTGGCGAGCCRTCTGACACATTTTGCATTCGTCAAGTTTGGC